CTATTATGTTTATTATATTAAAATCTAATAAGAAATTTCATAAGAAAATGTCATAGTGACACAATGAATTCTTAAGTTACTTTCCATTGGCCTTAAAATGTGTTACCTTATATTATTATGAAGTAGGTGAAGGCTGACTCATATGGGAAAAAACATTAATGACTTCCAGCACAAATTTTAATATGGTGAATGCCATTTTAACAAATGGCTTTCTACAACAAATAATACTTTAAGGCTCACCTTATGCATGATAGTAAGAATGCTGTTACTTTTCCAAATGAAATTCATTATTATGAATAATACAGCATAATAAATCCTTTTTAGCTTTTTTTACTATAGTCTAGTCACTGGTTAAAATGAAATAAATGCAGATAGAACTAGTTTCTGTGGCTTAATGTAAGTATAAGTTGAAGAAGATAATTCTTTCAGGAATATGGCTAACAAAGAAATAGAAGTGTAGTTTTTGTTTCTCATCAGAGAACAAAAAGGTAAAATAGATCATTATTGCATTCTTGCCAAATTTTAAACTATATTTGAACCTTCATTCTATATACTAGAAAACTTCAGTAATTGTGATTTTTACTAATAAATTCTTTGGAAACTAGATAAGTCAAGCATTTTAACAACCCTTAAAATTCCTTTATAATAAATCTCTATGGTGCCCACACTGAAGAGAGAACCAAAAAAGCAGAAGAGTGAATCTTTGACAGCTGCTACTTCTGCTTTGAGGACTGGCTTCTCGTGCCCACTTTGTGAAGGGGTGTGCCTTTGTGAGGTGAGAAATTGGAACTGAGACCACTGCAAAACTTAGATCTCTGAAATTCTGCTCAGTCACTGAAGTAATACACGAAGAGAAATGAGAAATACCCACAGGTGCAACAGGATTAGGGGAAACTGATTTCCTTAGGGAATTTGGGTCAGATCAATAAAACATCTGACTTCAAAAGTGGAAATCTTAGGCTTTCATTTAGCACAAGTTCAGATATACTTATTCAAATACATATTTGAATACACATTTCTTGTTTGGAATTTTTAAGCCAAGAAATTAACATTATTGTTAATGCATGCCTGTAATACCTTAATGTATCTGGCAGAGGTAAATCCTAACACTTTCTGGAAAGACATCCCTACAAGCTAATCCACAATAAATTCTCCAAAATAAAGTCCCACTACAGATGAACTTATCTTCCCCATCCCCAAATGGAGAAAAAAATTTATCCTAGCATGAATTTCAGCAAACAGAACAAACAAGAACTCCAATTTCCCAGTTTCCACAGGGTATCATGAATAAAGTTAGATGCTACCGGCACATACAGTGGCTTGTGTTACAGGACAGGAATTCTGACCTTAGGGAGTCCAATTTTTTTTATATTGGGCAGTAAGCCTGCCTGACTTTTGCCCTGCAGGAAGATATTATCTTTATTACACTGAACAATAAACAAATCTGCTCTTTGCTCTAGAGAGAGACACAATCTATCCTGTGAGATTATATTTAAAATACTTGAAGATAGAAGGGAAGGAATCCAAACACTTAATAATAAGATACTATAAACTGCTCTATTTATGAAGGCCAATCAAAAGGTTTTAAGGTTCAAATTATATTCATTAAAATTATAACTTTTGGACAGAATAAACATCATGAAATGATGTTTATATGAATAAATAGATAATAGTAACCTGGAAGATAAATTTTTAAAAATTGCTTTTATTGCAGCAAAGATTCATAAAAAATTAGTATGTATGAAAAAGAGATTATAAAAGATTAACAAAGTATAATTACAGAGCAATATAAATAAAAATCAATCCACACTATTACATATATTTTTGAGACAAATCATAACATGATAAACAGTCTTAAAAGCAACCAGAGGTAATGGAAGGTTATCTCTCCAAAACAATTACTATATTGACAGTAAAATACTCATACACGCAACTTTGTAGCCTTAACACATAACATAGGGAAACATTATCTTTAATGTTCTAAGAGAATTGAATAACCATCTAGAATTTTAAGACTTGTGAAATTATCATTCAAGACAGAGTAAAATCATGGTATGTTTAGACAAAGGCTCAGGTAATTTACTTCTTAGTACCGTCCTTGAAAGAACAACTGAAGGATATACTTCAGGAAGAAAGAAATTGAACCCAGAAGGAAGAAATAGGATGGAAGAAATTGGTGTGGGGGGGAAATGGCAAATATATTAGATGTATTATAAAGTAATTATTACCATGCCCATGTTGAGAATTATAAGAAAATAAATTTGAATGAAAATAATATACAACCCTAACTTACAATACTGTTGGATATGATTAGTGTTGAAACTACTAAGGTCTTCTAATGTAAAGAAGAGTGGAGATCATTGACTAACTACAGTGTTTTAGAAAATTATACATGTTAAATACTTTGAGTTACAGTTAAAATATTACAGATATTACAGATACAATGTATTATTCAAAACAGTAAAGGAAAAAGGGAATATAGAAAACTTAATTAATTGAAATAGGAAAGAAATGCATCAAAGCCAAAATAGTATGGTAAGTGTTAAGAGCACAGTTCCTCTGTGTCTCTTGTGTTTTTGCACATTTTTTGAGCAAAAGCATTGGTTCCCTTTGTTCCAAAGTATCTTTTCAAGGGTGCTTATATAGTAAACAGCCTTGGAAGGTAGAGATTGTGTCTCTCTCCAGAGCAAAGAGCAGGTATGTTTATTGTCCAGTGTCATAAAGAATATCTTCCTCTAGGAAGGTCGGGCAGGCTTACTGCTCAGTATGAAAGAATTGGGTTCCTTAATTACTGATATAAATTGTGTGAACAAGTTATACGTTGTACATATCTACATCTTTTAAAGTATTTCATAGTTAAAAATGGAATGTTTAAAAAGTTACTAATTATATTTTGACCCCTTATATTGCTATTGTAAAGAACATGTTCTTTTGTTAAAAGTGGTAAATGATGAGATTATTGAGCATAGTGCTTTATATATCGTAAATTATTCAGGAAGCAATTACTCAAATTTACTGAAATATTTTCACCAGATTTATTAAGGGTTTATGAAAATTTTTTAGTATTATCCAATTGGATGTTGAAAAGAATCTGCATATAGTTCAACTGTTTTGATTTTGG